TGTTTTTAAACAGGAATAAAATTGCATATGTGTTTGTTCGACTTGAAGATTACTCTTAGGCTAACGTGGGGATAAGTTGATTGCAGAATGCTTTTGATTTTACTTTTTAGTTTGATGCCAGGGAATCAGTGAATTATAACACCAAGATAATGGGACATTTAGGAATGTTGAGTACAGGAATTTTGGGCTTTATATTTATAGTGTTCCATAAGTAGCTTAGAATATATTTTTCTTTAGATATATTTCAGTAATTCCTGTTAATTTCCATGTAGTTATAAAATCCTTTTAAGCTGGATGTACAAAGGTCATAAACATGTACTAATTCTTTCATTTAGGTTCAGGTTACATGCTCCACCTCTATCTAATGGATGCTTGTACCAGTTCAATCCTGTGTCTGAGTCTACTCCCTGTGGCAGGGCAAGCCCAGTTTTAGGGTGACAGATAACTGTATATTCTCCCCCTTGTATATTTTATTTGGAATAATATTAGATGTGGATGATCTAATGATTGTGGGATATTGCACTAGGACCATGATGTGACTTGAAACATGATGCATTATTCTTCCTTGTCCTATATATTGGTAATTAGAACTCTCTTCAACACCTACAGCCAGTTTGAGTTCAAACAAACATAGAGACCAGCCAGTAGGTAAAATGTATAACATTGTTATCAGTAAAAATGTATTTTTATTTTCTCATTTGTTTTCTAAGTTTTTCTTTTCACATTCATTATAAACAATTGCATATTGCACAATATTACCAGAACCTGTATTTTGCAGATATTTCATTTCTTATGTGTTGGACATCAGCATATTTTATTACCACATATACATGTAGTAGTTTAGTCCTTGTACCCTTGTTTACTTTTAAAGTTTACTTCATAAGTATGTGAAATTTGACAATTATTACAACACCTGTGTTACCTAACAAGAAGGGCTTGCTATAGTTGAAAAAAAAAAAAGACCAAAATATCTGTTATATAAGGTGTGCAAACAAACATGGAGAAACAGCAGACAAAGTATGTTATATGTGTAACTTCATTTGATTTCAATATACCCTTCATATTTCTGTTATTTTAAAGTTTTCTCATATTTTTTACTTAAATGTAAGTTCATTACTTATTCAAAGGTATCATAAATGTAGCAATCAATACATAACATTAACTGAAACCCTTTGCACAAATAACTTGATACTTCACTCATCAACTTTGATATAAGTTGCTACTTATTAAAAAGTAATTTATGGGAACATTGATTCTGTTAGCTGTTTTGTGGGTAGTAATCACAAATTGGAGAAATGCAATTACAACGGCTTATGGTGAATAATTGTATATGGTAAATTAAACAGCTGTGTGTATAAATAACAACTAATTTCAAGTAGATGATGATACTGGAACACACTGAGCTTCCTTGAGTTTTCAGTATCTAGGAAAATGAAATATATACATATCAGATATGTATAGTATTTAATGTCTTCATGGGTATTATATCGTACTGTCTTTTATTGTTATTATATCATTAAGAATATTTCATATAGGTAAAACTATATATATATATAAAGAAACACATTATACATAGTTGAACATTTATCAAAACTTTTCAGGGACAGAATTATGACATCAAGCACAAGTAAGAAAATTTGATATTATGTTTAAAAATTACTTGAACCTGTGTTGTAAGTTTAAGTGAAATTGCTTATATAACTAACATTCCATTGTTACTTTTCTGCACTATGCAGTTTCTTTTGTATTGTGTTAGTTTCATTATGATTTTTTGCATATATTATTTTGGGAAATAAGAAATACACCTAAAACTTTTTTTTTCCTGTACACTGGGATTAGTCTACTGTTGTTTTACCTGCTTGCCTACATTAAAATAAATGATATCAAGTGGTAATTGTTTTTTAAACAGTTGAGTGAGAAATATATTTTATGTTACTATAATAAATGTTGCGTGTATGTCAGTATCTATATATGTAACCGAAACTCCTGCACCATCTATTAAAAGGCAACACAAACAAAAATCCATAAAAACATTTCACACTTTGGGAATTCAAGATTCAGACAATTAGAAAAATAACTGTGGTATGTGCAACAACCATTTCTTTATAATAGAACTCAGTTTTAAATAAAAGTACTCTCTTCACAACAATATCACTACATTCACTAGGACTGTACGTGAGAGTTTGATTATGTCTTTATCGACGTGATTTTTAAATGTAGTAATAAGAAGCTGGAGTTCTTAAAAAAACTTATTTTTTTCAATAAATGGTACCAATTTTAATATATAAAAACATTACAGTTTATATCAGTAAAACTTATGAAAATTTTGAGCTGTGTACATTGAATTATTTTAATGCAGTGAGTTGCGTATGACTAAAGAGGACAATCTGAACAATTGTCCCATGCAGTACTTCCCAGGAAATGTTCACCTTTTCTAAATTTTTTTTCAATGAGGTATGATTACTACGATTAGTGATTACTAGCACAAACACCTATAGGGCGGTGTTTCTGCTAGTGTATTACAATAAACAGACATGAAAGTTTATATAACTGTATTTTTAACTATAAAACATCATAATGTAGTATAGTAATTGTAGTTACACAGATGCACATCCCTGATCATTTTGGTTATTGCTTTTTGTTTTAATACATTTTGTTAAATCTATGTCCTTGAAAAGAAAATCCTAGAATTAAATTAATTTGGTGAAAGATGGGAATTTCTGAATTTCTTGCTAGCAGTCCCTATGTTATTTACTTACCTTTATGTCCTCTTGAAGTAACTGTCTCATAATATACCACCTGTTTCATTGTAACTGTTCTGGAAATCATAATTGATGTAGAATAAAAAAAATTAATGGAAAATTTTATAATCTCTTTCCTGGATATTTTATACTTGAGAGTAACTGTAGCGATACCATTTAAATAGAAAAAATACATTTACATACTTTGGTGATGTACTTTCTAATTAAATTTTAACTTGTATTGAATAAAACTACTAATAATAATAAGGTTCCATGCAAAGTATATAATGCACTTATAAATTTGTGAATCACCTGGAAATTAGTGGAATAACCTGTTTGTTGAACTTTTGTTAAATTCTGTTTTAAAAATTATTATTGTGATAACTGATATAATTCTTAGAGTTAACTTGCTAATATCCATCCTTCAAAAACAATGCAAACAAGACAGCAGGGATAGCATATTAGCACAAGCACACACTGTAGTAGAATGTTAACAGACAAAAATTAAACTCAATTGTGATTGAATAGTTGTATATATATTGCTACATGTTAATTCTTGCATATGCTATTATGTAGTGATGATGCAAATGCCATCCTATAATTTTGTTTGCTTTGTTTTTGAAGGATTGATATTTGCCATCCCTACATTTACTTCCTTTTTTTAAATGTTTTTTCTTTTTTTTTGATGCAGTGTTTCAATAGACATAGGAATCTTTTATTTATAACTGCAAGAAAGTTAACTTCAAGGAGTAATAATAACATCATTTAATAGCCAAATTTTAAATACAATGAGGTTCCAACAGTAATATTTATTGTTTATCTATTACTGGGTGGTAATTCCTGTTCACCCTATACTTAAGCTTTTTAAAGAAACACCAAATTTCTCTAAGAAAGCTAACTTCAAGGGGTAATGCTAACATTGTTTACACTAGAATTAGGATTTCTTTAAATTATTACTAGTTATCAATAATACTTATAAAAGTGGATACGTAATTTGAAACTGTCACCTCAGTGAAATTGGTTGACACCATTGTGTTGGTTTTTGAGTTATCATCTTATGAAAAAGATGCCGAAGAAAGAAGAAATTCAGATTTTTTGCTATGATATTTATAGACATTCCCAGAAATTGTGACTTAATCATTACACAGATATTGTTTTAAAAGAAAACACTGTATAGTATTGTAAAGTTCTGATGACCTGTTGAGTAGATATTTGAAACACCATTTCAATGAATAATCCAAGCCATTCCTATATAGGCAGTACAACCACGTGCCTGGTAATCATCATTTAACCCTGGTTGTAACTGACTAACTATTTCAGTAGACATTTGATATATAAATGTTAATAGCTTTCAAATTGGAATTTATTTTACCCTTACAATCTTAGGGGCATTTTTTGTGCTGGAAAAATTCTTGTTTACCATATTATAAATCTTTTTTTTTTTCTTTCTCTCATACATAAAACTTCTATTTTGAAACTTAGTATTTTTAAGCATGTTACGTAGTCCATGAAAATTCTCATTATTATAAAATGTTTTTCTCTTCTACTTTATTAAAATCTGTTGAAGTATATTTCAAGTGTAACATGTGTGGTCTGTGAAAGTCCTTACTATATTAAATTTATCATGAATGAGTTAACTAAGTTCTTCTAGACACAACTGTTGATGTAGAGTAGTTAGTTTTGTATTTGAATATTTAACAGTGTTGCATATAGTATGTATTCAATGCTTGCTTGTGTTAGCTACACTTCATGCCATGATAAAATTCTTTCAATGGTAAGAAATAACTTGGTTTTATATATTATATATTTAACTAAACTTTTTCCTTTCTTCTCTGTGACCATACTTTTAAAAACATATGTGTTTTATTCAGAGAAACAAAAACTTTGCTCTATAAGCAAAAAACTTTGTCTGCAGAGTTTAATGCATCTTATCCCACAATTAGTTCCTGACACCAAATATAGTATCTTGGTCATACTTGTGAAGGAACTTTGATAGTTCACATCTTCACTTTGTCAGTTGTACTGCTGCCATCCTTACAAGTGTCTATCATATTTAGGTTTCCTCAAATTACAGATTGAACTTTATTATATTACTTGTCAAGCATTAATGTAATTTGTATATATTCTTACCAACTTCATTGTTCAGATATGCTGTATGAATCACTTCAGAATGTTTTTTTTAAGAAATAATTTATTATTTCTGTGGAAAGTTGTTGGTCCCATATTTAATTCTTAACTTTTAATAATTATATCTTCTAGGTAATCATTGGTGATTGTGTGAAGAAAATGGATGAATATATGAAAGAAGGAAAAATGTTTGACTTTGTGTTCAGTGATTTAACTGATATACCCATAGCAACAGAACCAGAGGGTAAAATCATTTTTGTAATTACTTCTTTTAATTATTTGTGAGATCTTTCATACTGAGCTTACCAATATGGTCTACCAACTTAGTTTCTGATAAATGTCATAACTTTGGTTATTTTTATAGTGATCTGTCCATATTAGGGCAGAACAACTCATGTTTTAATAAGTATAATATTCTGGACTAACTTTGGTCATTCAATTATTGTGTATCTCAGACCAACACAAAGTCTGAGATGTGTGGCACTCTGAATTAATTTTGGTTGTTCTTGGATGTATCATATAGTGCAGACCAACTCAATTTTTATAATGTTTCACATTCTGGTTTCACTTTAGTTATTTAGTCATTTCAGTTTTCTAGGTGCTAGATTACTAGACATAGTAATCTGAACTCACATTGGTTATGTTTAAGTGTATCTTATAAGGTAGATCAACATAGTTTGATGGGTGTTATATTCTCGACTCATTTTTTTTCATATTTGGTTTCTCTTATGTATCACACTGTGAATCATCAGGTTAAATATTTGATGTGTAGGAAATGGTATCAATCACTAACCATTATAAAAGGGAAACAACCAAATTTGCTTGGCAACCATTTGGGTAATTTTTAAGATACCCTAAGTTAATCTTTTTTTCAAATGCAACAAAACTCCATAATGGGAGCAGCCATTTTTGAGAGGTCCATGTCATCATTAAGTCTGTTCTGGTTTGTAGCTGATTGAGTTTTGTTTTAATTAGCTCACAGACTTGATTTTTATTATTTCTGTAATAAAGTAACTGCTACTGAAAATGAATAGCAAAAATATATTAAGGATTACTGATTATAATTTTGATCCAAAGTATTCAGAGGAAGAAATAAATGGCATGCATTTAAACAAGGAGCAAATTGAAAGTGAAGTGATAGAGTTGAGCTAGTGATGTGAGTATTTTAATTTTATGCAGATAGAGACTGTTGAAAAAAATGTGTGCTGCACAGGATCTTATTTAACAAATATGAAACTTGTGAAATCAGGACTGTGTTACAGAACATCTAGATTGGGATGATATCACATAATTTCCACTATTCTTTTTTGCATTTACCTTTAGTTTTTGAGCACTGTGACATGATGATTACAAAGAATTCATGTATTATGAATTAAAGAAGAAACTTCAGGATTGCAAAGTCATATAGCCCTTTTTTTTAACATGGTCAGGTGGTTAGGGTGCTTGTCTCGCAGTCTGCAGGTCATGGGCTTGATTCACCTGTCTCATCAAACATACTTGCTCTTTCAGCATTGGGGACAATATAATGTGATGGTCAATCCCACTATTCCTTGGTAAAAGAGTAGCCGAAGAGTAGGCATGGGTGATGATGACTAGCTACTTTCCCTCTGATCTTTCACTGCTAAATTGAGGATGGCTAATGCAGATAGCCCTTGTGTAGCTTTGTGTAAAATTCAAACCAAACTTTTTTTAACAAGATCTGATCAAAACACCAATTACATTTCTTCTTCCAATGTATTGATTTTAATCACTTGACAGATTCCTCCAAATTGTCCTTGAACCATATAAGACTTAATGATGTCACAGAATACTCCATTATTGCTTTCACTGGTAAAGAGGGCTAACAACATGGTGGCAAAAAATAGGCATTGAAGTTGTCAATTTGTAAGCTTTACATATGAAAATCTCACTTATGTGAATTGTAAAATGAATGTTTTGGAAAATATTTGATATTTATAACATTTACAGCAAAATAAGCACAATTTGATAAAGCAGTTAATTTTCCATTCAGAAAATTATAGAAATTAAATTTGTAGTCATTCTTCCACACACATAAAATGTTTTATTTATTTAATTTTATACCTAAACAATTTTTGATTTAGGGTTGATTTTGTCTGCACTGAATAAAAAGTATTAGTGTTTAATTTCTGAATTGTTTTATTAGCACACCCAGGCACACATATTCCCAAAATTGTTAAGTCTAAATACTTTTGAACAAAACAGGCCAATTTGGACCTTGTAACTTCAATATAAGTGTGATTTTATTGAACTTAGCCAATCATTGCTTCTCAACTTTGGTTGTCATGGTGTGATATAATTGTCTATATTTCAGCTTTCAAAAGTCATAGACTAGGGATCTAAACATGTAATGAAAGCTCTTTTTCTTGCTCTTCCCAACATGGTTTCTAGCTCAGTGGAGATAAGCATAGAGATCAAAACAAAATTATAAAATCTTAGCTTGATGATATACTGTTAGAAGAAATTATGTTTATGAACAAATCCACCATAATTACAATCTTCTTTCTTTTTTTTAAAGCTTGGAAGAAGCTTGCTTTATCATTTTATATGCTATTTGAATTATAATGTCACAGTATGATAAGGAAAAAGATGAGGTAGCAGAGTTCAACTTAACGTGAACTCCTAGGTCCTGTACACACATGAATTTGTCGGGACACATGATTTGGTCCCCCTGGATACCAGATACACACACCGCAAAACACCCCATACGCAAAGCAAGTACTTTGCTTTGAACTTTATACCATAACAAACTAAATAGCATACAATTTGCATACAGCTGTCCACAATAAACTTCTAACAAGTTTCACAATAAATTGCACAAAAACAAAGCCACATGAAAGTACTACATTATTTTATTATTATTGTTATTAAATTCTTAAATCTCACTGGGACTCTTGAAAAAAAAAAGTTCAGAGTCTGGGACTCTGCACTGCGGGACCCTAGTGAGAACCCGAGTTAGGCTTAGTTAGATGATTTTGAATTTGATTGTATTAAATTTCGTTTTGCTTATACGCTGCTGTTTGTTTTTACATTAGGTCTTGTTGACCTTAATTAGTGTTTGAATAGGTAAAGATAATCACAGAACATAAATGGTAAAAAAATATATAAATGAATATAGCATGATTTTAAAAATTACATAAAGTAAATGAAACCCTTTTTGTTACTATTTTTTTTTAAATTAGCTTGTTAATAATTTTGGTGTGGTAAAGTTATTTTTATTGTATGCTACTTATTGTAATCACAGTGTAATCTAGTGTTTTTCAAGTAATAAGTTTCAGAAGAATGCAAGAAGACATAAGAACCAGTAATAGAAATCTAAAAGATGAATATTTTTAATTGTTTCTTAAAAAAATGTATCACAATGAAATATTTTTGGGTTTTTTCAAGCTGCTAAATCATACAAATATCACATATATCAAAAACAAGGGTTTTTATCTTGCAGAAGCTAATGATCCATTGGAAGGTCATCTCAAGTTTTAAACAACTTCATTCAGTAGTTTTTTGTTGTTTTTTTAATAAAATTGAACAAAACGAAACGTTTATCAAATTGCCATACCTGTCATTGCTGCTGAGCATCTTTCAGGTGTTGTGTGCAAACCTCCATATCAGATTTCAAAACCTAAGTAAAAATATTAATTTAACTGCATTTGAACAGTTTTAACTGAAAAATATTTTATTAAATATTTTGTAACATTTATTTAGAGTAATTTGCAAACGAAAGTTAAACAATTTTCAACGTTTCATATCTGTGTAGTTCTGGGGAGTATTTCCTGAAAACAATGCACTTGTAGATTTTGTTTAGAATTTTGTTGACCTTCCAAAAGCATAGGTTTATATTTGCTAAGAATATATAATTCTTTGTGAACATTATTCATTGTTTCTGATGTGATATTCATTCTCTGTTTGAGGTTTCATTATTACAGCCCTTTTTTTCAAAGTTTTTGAGATGTCACAGAATGTTGTCTGAACAATAATTACTTATAGAACACAGCTTCAAAAATAGCTGTAGGTAAAATTTTAATACCATTGATTAGAACAGATTATGAACTTTAATGTAGAGTTAATAAAATGGTGTGATCTAGTTGGGGAAGTTTAGAAGGCTTGGTAACAAACCACAAATCTGGAATTTTTTTTAGACATTCTTATCACTTTTAAAAATGTTTTTATGTTAAAAAGCTATAGAAATTTTATTTTACGAAGTCTGATAACCTTAGTTAGGTTTAACTAGTACAGTAGGCAACAGCAAAGGCTGAAATTCTTATTTATTGAATATCATTGTTATGTTTGTCACTTTCAACCAATGCAGATAAATAAAATAATTTATTAGTAGGAAACTATAATTATTAGTTAAGAATTGATCTCAACCAAGAATATTGTTAGCAAAGAATAGTTACCTAGCCTGACAATGGTGATGCAAGTATGAACATCAGGCTGTAGGTAACCAATAAATATCTTAGGTTTTAAAATTCATTTTATGATTTATAGCTAGAAATTCTGACTACAGGAATAATAGCATAGATTAACATTTATAGAAATGGATTTTAGCAAACCATTATGCTTAATTTAGTCTGTGTTAGCCAATTCTTTATAAATGAAGACTAGCCTTTAACTCCTTTGCTATGGGCAGGTCAAAGTACACACGTCATGACTTTTTAGAATTTTCAAAATTCAGTTAAACTGCTATATTATCATGGTATACAAACCTATCAAAGGGCAGATGAAATTTCATGAGTCAGACCCCCACTGCATTGTGGGATGTTCATGATTGAACAAAGGCTACCAGAGTAAACTGTACACAAACTGGCAAGACTAATCATGACCCAAAACCATTTCAGATTTCAAATGTATAACTGTGGCAAACTGGGCAACATTAAGAGAAAAATGGGAAGATTAAAAATCACTAACAAAGAGTTCTTGGTTGCTACATTGAACAGAAAGGGGATGGAACATTTCATAACAATTGGGAAATGTATGGGTAAAACAAGTAGAAGTAGACAGCAAGAGAAGATCCTGGGCAGTTGAAAAATTTAGCTACACAAAGAGAGGGTGACTGATGTAATCACAAGTGCCTTGGGCCAGGAAAGGTGGAGGGACATGTTTGCCTATGCTACCGAGCATGGTACTTGATGATGATACAAATAAACTTGGCATAAAAACATAGTTAATAAACCAAATTTTAATATTATATAAGTTTTAAGTTTTTAATTTCATAAAGAAATATTTAAAAAAATCCTAGATCTCACCCTAGCAGGAGAACTGTGACATTTGCTCTCTAGGTATCCCCTCTTCTCTAATTTATTTACCACCTCTCCAAGAAGTACAGAATTTAATGTAGATTACTCATTATAATATTTTTCATCTTATTTGGTCAAAGAGCCATAAAATAGAAAATGAAACCTGTCATATATTCTCTTTCACAAATTACCAATAGTTTTCTCTGATATTTCTCCACACAGGCTCGGTCAATTTGACCGACCATGTGACCTTTTTGTACTCATATAAAGTATTTATAGACTTGATACTACTAACTTTTGATATAGAGTGTATATCTTCACAAAATTC